CCCCAAAACCCCAAAACCCCAAAACCCCAAAACCCCTATTCTAATTAATTTCATTGAAAACTGTTCCAATTTGAGTTATCGTTCCAAGTCTATCCATACATAATCAACCCAACTAAATTTTCTTGCTGTATTGTAGAGTTCATATCTATTTTTAAAAGAAACTTATCTCCAACTGGTTTTATCAACTCATCCATGATTTATTTCTTACTTGCTTTTAAGAGAATAGGAACAAAACTTCCTATAAATCATAGAACTAGTAAGATAATTATTGGCACTTGTCTTGGCTTCACTTCTGCAACTTGTGGTGCAAATATTGTGAACATTCTTGAAATAATTCCAGAAACCATGAAAGAAAATGAAACAAACAGAGGTGGGAATACTTCAGGGCTAGCAAAATATACTACATTAAAAGCTCCTTGAAGGAAGAATTTTCCCATAAACACTCAGACAGCAATCAAGATAGTATTATTTACAAAGAGCAATGGAACACTTGCTATCAGAGAAATAGAGAATCAAGTGATCAGAGTCTTCTTAGTTCCAATATAGTTCTGTATGAATCCTCCTCCAAAGTTCCCTGCTATTTCTGATACAGAGTTTGCTAAAGTGTTGATATAAATATTACCTCCAACATATTTTAAGAAGATGCCGACCATATAATAGCTGAAAGAAGCAATTCAGAAACATATCACAATACTTATCAGGTTAAGTAATGTTCTTCTGTGCTTTAGCTCTCTTCACACAGAGAATTCTTCCTTCGGAATACTCTTTAGTAATGGTTGGTGGACTTCATTAGGGTTGTATTCCTCAAGAACTTTACTAATATTTATCTTCTCTTTGGTCGCATTGAAATTGTCTGGCATCGTCATGTCAAGTTTTACACTACTTTCTTCTAAACCCGGAATTATTCGGTGGACATTGACAGAATCTTACCATGAGAAAATTTGGAAGAGTCACAATCCTGCTCTCCTTCTATAATGTAATCACCCATTTGAGCTCCATTAAATCTTGAAATATATGATAAGGTCTTTCTTAATTCTGGAAACATTCCCTTTTCGAATAAATACTTTGGAGATTCTGGGATTAAGAAAGAAGGAATCAATGATATTACAGGCAAGACCAATCCAACTATTAGAAAATGCTGCATATTTTTCCCTCCTGCCAATAAGAAAATAGTAGTTGGAATATAAACTAAAAAAGCTTCTGCAGAATTTATCAAGCTGCTTGTGTTCATCCGATGCCTTGTAGGAATAAGTTCAATTGTTAGAATGTAGATTGAAATATTTTTGTACAGCAAAACTCCTCATAATAAAAGCACAACATAAATAACATACAAATTTCTCCAGAAATAAAGCACAAAGCATGCCATCATATTAATAATAACTCCAGAAATGATGGTTTTATTTTCTCCCGAACCTATCACCGACTTTAAGAACAATGCCACTTAGAACAAAGCCTACAAAGATAATCGAACCAATTAGTCCAATCATAAATTCACTATAACAATAAAGCTCCATATCTGTCATCCAATTCCTAAAACTTTTACTATCTGTGTAATCTGGTCTCCACAAATCTCTAAATAATTATAGACTATAATACCTGTCTTTAAGAACTCCTCCCTGTCAAATCTATTCAAAAAATTAGGCATACTTCTGAACTGAAATTAACTTACATCTTCAACTTCACACTCTACAAATTCACTTTCTATATATAGTAGCACTCTAGTCTTGGGACTAGCTCTAGATAGGCCAAATTGTACATGAAGAAGCTAGCACCTTGTTTGGCAATTACTGCATATAGGAGCATTATCCACTGCAGTCTACCAAAACCACCTGCTTTCTCAATGAGTTGTTCAATATTTAATGTTTCAGGAGTTGAGCTTGTAAGGTCAGATTTATTGATTTTCTCCATCTTTTTATATTTTAAGATTTTGAATGGGGTTTTGGGGTTTTGGGGTTTTGGGGTTTTGGGG